CCGCTTATGCTAATGAAGCCCGGGAAATTCAAATCCCGGGCTTCATTAGCAATTAGGGTATGTCTACACTACCCTCCTAGTTCGAACTAGGAGGGTAGTGTAGACATACCCTTAGTTCTCAGCCAGTGTCATTCAGTTCCTGCCAAGAAGATGCTTTCATACATGGCAAAGTTAAGCCCAGGCCTCATTTTCTCATTACCCTGAGTGTGATAAACTGGGCAGAGATAACATAGCCACCTGGCTAGAGGGGGCTTAGGGTATGTCTACACTACCCTCCTAGTTCGAACTAGGAGGGTAGTGTAGACATACCCTTAGTTCTCAGCCAGTGTCATTCAGTTCCTGCCAAGAAGATGCTTTCATACATGGCAAAGTTAAGCCCAGGCCTCATTTTCTCATTACCCTGAGTGTGATAAACTGGGCAGAGATAACATAGCCACCTGGCTAGAGGGGGCAGGCAGTAATTTCACAAATTCTTCTGTACAACTAGCTATTGCTGTTGGCAAACCGAGGCCCGACCAACCAACTACAAATGCATAACTGAAGTTGCTCAGAAGGGAGAGAGTCCAATACAAGACACAAGGTACTAGAAAGGGGCAATTCTTCAAATGCAGGAATTTTCATAATTAAAGGAGAAGTGGTGGTAGCCCAAAAATCTGGTAAAGTTTTACTTCAGTATCACTTATGGATGTGATAAAGATTTGAACACAAGGTCTTCAGAGTTCCTCAGATAATGTCCTAAAACAATTAAACCAGTATCAGATAAGGGTTGGGGGTGTTAATTAAATGTCTGTCACTTTAATTGCAAGTTACTAAGCTTTATGGTTATATTCATGGAAGCCCACTGACCTCACAAGTGTAAATGAGGGCACAACTGGGCCCTTCATGACCACTCTTCAGGCCACAGAACATTGTTTAATTCCCATGTAAGCTCATGCAACTCCGTTTAACTTGCGGACATCATTATCTGTGTTATCTATATCCAGTAGCTGGGATCTGAAGTGATTCAAAAAGGCGTAACTGTCATATCTCTAGTGCCAGCTTTGTTACATCAGTTACTAGTGAATCTGAAAATGCCAACAGCATCGCCCCCCTCTCTCTCTCACATATTACTGTTTCTAGAGCACAGAGAGAAACTGAAGGCAGCAACCGGCTGCAGCTTTACAAAGGCATGCAAATCTGTTACCTTGAGCTAGCAAAGCCAACTCTGGTATCAAGCATTTCCATAAATAACCCCTGTAGGCTGCTATCTAGCTTACAAAGAGACATCTGAAATGCACAAGGTTCCCTCCAGAGAATCAGGCCAACAACATTAATTACAATAGGACGAATTGGAAAACAAGCAACAAGTTGTGCAGACATTGTCTACCAAGTGCTGTTTACCAGGACTCCAAAGACAGAGAATGGGCTGTAGTTTCAGGACACTGAGCCTTTTCCCACAAAGTTTTATAAAAGCCTAAGTTAGGATTCAGATGAGTTGGTGTCATTTAGTCCATGACTAACTGCAGAGATTTTCAACTAAAGAGGGAAAAAAAAAAACATACCTAAGGCTCCACACAGGACTACAAAATCAGCATATTTTAGGGGTACTGAGCAACTGAACCACACATACAAATCAGACTTAGATCCTAACCAAGCAATTACCAGGCAACATACCCCAAAATATTCAGCCTAGATTTAAACTAAAAAAAAAAGTTCCTGATAAAGAAAGGACCCTAGAGAACCTGCCACCATTCTTACTGCTTCCTCAACACACAATCAGCAAGCCAGGTGCAATAGAGAATTTCAATGGATGGCCAGCTCCACACATACAAATCAGACTTAGATCCTAACCAAGCAATTACCAGGCAACATACCCCAAAATATTCAGCCTAGATTTAAACTAAAAAAAAAAGTTCCTGATAAAGAAAGGACCCTAGAGAACCTGCCACCATTCTTACTGCTTCCTCAACACACAATCAGCAAGCCAGGTGCAATAGAGAATTTCAATGGATGGCCAGCTCCACATGTTCTTTACACCACCTTTGTCCCAGAAATGCTGCTGCCGCCATTGACATCCATCACTCGCCTTTAAGAGAGAGCTGGGCCAATCCCACAGAGTCATCATCAGAGCCCATGTTTACAGACTATAAAATAAAACAAGCCTGCTCCCACCCCAAAACATTGCATCATAATCAAAGCAAAACTAACTTTGCACCACTCTCATGAGAGGATGAGATCTTTGGGGGTGCATCTACACAGCACCTTGAACTCAAAATAAGATATGCAAATTGTGTATCTTATTTTGAATTATTTTGAAATTTGGCACATCTACACAGTGCCAAATTTCAAAATAACGCGCTATTTTGAGACATCTAGACGTACCCTAAGACTCCTGGCAATCTGCACGCTGCAAAGGCAGCTGGAATAGGTTTAAGCAGGAGCTCTCATGGGGAGGGAGGTCCTGTATACAAAGGGAATGATCCATGCAGTTAAACAGGAACAGACATAAATCTCACCGCTGCTCATGCTGTAAGCCTCAAGAAAGGGATCTCCCTCTCCCGCTCTCTCTATTCAACTCAGATAAAGAATTTGAAGTCTGAACTGCCTCACTAGAGTTCAAGTTACATGTGGACTTTTCATTAGTTCAGAACTGGAGCTTCCCCCCCTCCCCCGCCCCAAATGTGCCCCCACCACTTGCATCCCCACTCCTGGGGGCAGGATTAAGAAAGAGGAATTTAACAGCACAAAAATAATGAAAACTATTCAGACAAAAGATCTCTAACAATCACACTCAGACATCTAACAACCATCCCCCATATATGGATCCTACATATCTCCCTGATGCCAAGGGCTTACAATACAGAAACTGACAGTCTATGTTGAGAGACCCGAGGATTCTACAAAGAACTGTCTACAAGTTCACCAAGGGTACATATACACAGCACCATTATTTCAGAATAACTGACATTATTTCAAAATAAAGTGTGCTTCTACACACAAAGTTATTTTGACAAAGTCGAAATAATGTCCAGCCAGAGGACTACTTACTCCAACTCCTGTAACCCTCATTGGACGAGAAGTAAGGGAAGTCAGAGGAAAAGTGCTCTATTTAGAAATAAGTGCTATGTAGATGCTCCCAATTTTGAAATAAGCTATTTCAACTTAAGCTACGCAATTAGCATAGCTCAAGTTGCATAGCTTATTTCGAATTTAGCCCTGCTGTGTAGACGTACAGCAAGTGGCTAGAGCAGCCCCTGGGGAATGGAAGCACCTCTGATATCTCAGAGCAGAAGATGGCCCAAAAATGCACCTTCTGAGCACACTAGGACATGATAAACTTCAGGAATTCATAGTCATTGCAAACCTGTATCCTGGGGAAGTCATAAGAGAGCATGAGACAACAACTCCTCAACAATGAGGGGGACATGGGTCTATCTATAGCATCATCAGAGACAACAGGCCTAGTTCTTTGTAAGGGTTAAGTGCCCATCATGGAGGGGGTACATTTATGGCAAAATAGCAGATGACTGGTGCATGCAAGAGATGAGAAAAGCCTACCAAAGGTTGTGGGGTGCTGTATTTCTATAAGGGACTAAGAGAGGCCCTCACCCAAGAGTGTAAGGCTCTGCATGTCCTCTCCACTTAGGGACAGTTGTCCCCATAGACACGGTTACACGGTTAGTTTCACATGGACACATTTTTTCTTGTGCAGTCCTGAATGTATTCAGTCTTTTCAACTCTTCAAGTGCCACAATCAGTTTCTCAAAAGGGATCTTGCAATCAATAGGCAGAATGGAAAATTATAACATGGGATTCATAATCAATACACCAACATTCACAAATCAATCCATACTTGGTAATCCAGAGCTCAGAAGAGCATCGAGTTAACAAACCATCACTGGAATGTAGAAAGGAGGGATAATTCTTTATCTGTAATTAATAGTTTATAACCCCTTATTGGGAATCAAACCACAATCAATTGGTGCTCTAAGTACTGAAGCTCAGTCAACAAATGAATCCACTTAGATGGGAGAAGAAACCTCACCGTCTTGGAGTCCAGTTCATGTCTGGATTGGGCCAGCACCTTGTTCACACCGGCCTGGTCCATGAATGTGATGAACCCAAACCCCCTGCACCCCGAATCCAAGGCAGGAGATGGGAGAGGAAGATGGAAAGAAGGGAGAAAGTTGGTTAAAATCAGGCCTGGCTCTGGTGGGGACCAAAGGAGAAGCAGGGGCCAATCTTCTCACCTGGATCTCTTTGTCAGCGGATCCCGCATCACCAGACACTCCTTCACCTCCCCGAATTGGCTGAAGTATTCCCACAAGCCCTCTGCAACCAGAACACAAGGCCATGGACCCCTGCCCAGCACCAGCCCCAGCCCCATGGGGCCTTCTGCCCACTATGCAGCCCAACCCATGGAGAAAGCACCTGAAGCCAGGAGCAGACCCTTGGTGGCAAAAAGAGATGCACACACATACACATGGGACTCCCCACCACCACCTTTCCTGGAAAGAGGCATCAAGGGAGCCCTGCAAATTGGGGGCCCGCAGGAGTAACAACCCTGGGCCAGGCAGAGCAGAGCCCAGCCAGGTCCGAAGTTCGGCCGGGGCTCACGGGGAGCGGCGGCTGTCCGGCGAGCTTCACCTTGCGTGGTTTGCCAGCTCAGTCCCCCGATGAACATTTTGCTGTGTAAGACACAAAATGAGTCGTAAATGGGCGGGCAGGGGGGCAGCA